TAAACAGGATACCAATAGGCCAAACTACTACCTCTTTTTTTTTTCAATGAACAAACACTAAATATTTAAAAAATAAAATAGATTTTTGAAGTTAATTTCTGGAAACAACATACCAATCGGTAACAATTTGAGTATTCAGGCACCATAAACAAGCTTCATCAAACTGGAGACATTTGGTTTATGTGCTGTGTATTCAGGCCTAGAATCTACACTAACAAAATATCTGAGTATCTCTCTAACTAATATCAGCATAATAATATAATAAAAATGATTTTCAATGTTTTTTCTTAGATTTCCTCTACCATAAGCAAAGGCCACAGAGTTAGATAGATATGGCTTCCTTGTGAACATAAATCAGTTTAAGATGCAAAAATACACATCCCTGATATTTTTTTGTTTTGCTATGGACATTGGTTCCTGTATTGATGATACTTTCTTCTAAATTGTGAGTTGCTTCCTCAAAAACATGCTGAAACACACAGACACTTGGAGATTTGAAAAGAATGTTTTGAATACAAGATACAGGAAAGATTGTATTAAACTTTATCTCAGAGAAGAAAGTTTATGACTTGTCAAGCACATACTCTTCTTCAAGTGTGTCTTCTAATTTTTTAACTTGCTCTTTGATTGACTTGGCCTGCTGGTGAAGTAGTTGCTTATTCTTAGGCCCAAGGGGTATCTCTGAAGCTTCCTTCACAAGGTTCTCAGCCTGGACTGCAATATTTTCTGTCCGTTTAGAAAACTCCTAGAAAAAAGTTATTATAATTGTTATGAGGGTGTTTTCTATTATTTGACTCATCTTCAAGTAAACTCACAGGACAGACAGGTGGATGGATGAAGAAAGTTATACAAGTGTGGATGTCATATTGTTCTTAACAGCAAAACCAACTTATTTTCATATGGTTGAAAAGGATGCTTTGCTACATAATTTTCATTCCACATACACAACCAGTTATCTGTGTTCATAGTTATCCAACAAGTCTCCCCAAAATGGTTTCCCCATTGGTTCCTGGTTTGGGTTTATTGTGTAGAATTATTGTATAATAATTAACTTATCCACAAACATGTTAACTTATTATAGTTAGACTCTTTAACGTCCCTCACATACAATTGACGATAAAATGGTTTATTAAGTCCTACACTGATTTTTTTTTTTTTGGAGAGATTTTCACTGTAGGGCGCGTGCGCTCGCCAGACAGACAGAGAGAGACATAGAGACAGAAAGCGAGAAATCACCCCCCAGGGGGGATGGTCACGCCGCAATCCCTTCTCCTCCATTCTCCTCTCGGGATCTTGGGCACGCACGCACACGCGCCCGGCGTGAGTTTTAAGCCACCGGGTCCGGGACACGAACCGCGGTCGACTACGTGGGAGTCCAGCGACATAGCCATTACGCTAACTGCTGGTTCCCAGTCCTACACTGATTTTTAAGGACACTGAATCATTTTAATTCAAAATTTAAATTTAACATGTATGAGGCACTGGAAAACTTTAGATGTCACATGAATTTTGTCAAATAACTACATTAATTGTGGAATTAGGAATGGGTAAGCCCAATGATGATCCTGAGTGAAAAAAGAAAATGAACTTAGAGTCTCATTTCTTCTCATCTAAGAGACTCTCACAGGGGGTTGGCATTGTGATCACTGACAATCCTCTCCTAAATAGATAATGTAGAAATCCAATATAAATATTTTCTAAAAGTCAGCTTCTCACCCAAAGCATCTCCTAGAATTATTATATAATGTCATGAAGATAGAGTTAACTATAATACTATTACAGCTTAATGACTGAAAACTTAAAGTTATCCTAAAAATGCCAGTGCCACAGAGAAGTCCCCTGCAATTTGAGAGAACAAACACTCGTAAGTACAGCTTATGGGATAGAGAATTATAGTACCCTAAAATATGAGAGTTCCTAATCCACAACATCCAATTCTGTCCTTAAGAGCACCCACCGTTCCTTATATGTGACCTTGCAGTCATTGTAAACTCAATTGTGAAGACTGAATCACAGCCTAATCTCACATAATCTCATTATAAACTCAGGAATGTAAAATAAAGTGCTTTTTCTCCCTAGTGTTTCCAAGAACCAAGTAAAAAGCACAGAGAAAGTCATATTTGAAAATGCTTATACACCTGTAAATGTAGAGATTTCTGTGTGGGTTATATATCAGGAAGTTCTATGCAGAGGAAACCAAAAGGCAGAATGATGTTGAGAAAAAAATAAAATAAACAAAATAGAATAACCCCGTAAGTACTTATCCCTAAGTCCTAAAAAGACGACATGATAGCAGGATGTATCAGGAAAGAATGGACTCACGTTAGAGAAATCCAGAATAGAAACCATATTTTGCCCTTCCCTAGCTGAGTGACCTGAGAAACAGTCTCTGGATTTTCATCTCCTCATCAGTAAAACCATGCCTTTTGGTTAACATGGTATTGCAATGAACCTCCTATCACACACAGGCACACAAAGAGTACAGAAGTTCCTTCACATAACTCTTCCTTAGCACAACCACTCAAGAGCTACCAACTGAATTAAAGGTTGCAATAACAAGAAGAGAGGTGAAGCAGCAAAGACTTGTTCTAGATTAAATGTGCTCATGTGGCAGAGTGCTTAAACTGTTATGTAGGTGGTTCAGATTTGGCATGACATAGTGCAGTGGCTAAGGGTGTGGGCTCCAGAGGAAGACTTTTTGGGTTTGGATCTTAACCTTTATACCTAGTGATCCAGAGATCTTGGGCTAGTTTATCACCAACTTTGTGCCTGAGATGTCCTTGTTTACACAACAGGATTAATAGTGATACTTATTTCTTAAGATTGTCCTAAGATTTAAAGAAGATGGAAAACACCAAATAATTAGACCAGCAGACAGTATATGTATAATAAATATTAGCTAATTTTGTTAAATCAACCCCAAACTATGGATTATCATGGGCTAAAGAGAATTTTAATACAAAGTTGAAAATGTTTACATTTGTTTCATCTTCAGGCAGTTAAACTGGCCTAGGTGATTAGTGCAAATGGAGTCTAGGGGGTCAGAAATCCTGAATGGACTCTGGGTGGAAATAGATATGAAAATGAACCCAACAGGGGTCTTTATAAGAAATACCTGATATATTTTAATATAATTAATATTAAAATAATGGTCTATTTAATGGCTGATAAAAATTGTAAAGAATTGAGTCTGTGGCCTTAAAAAAACTTCAAACTTTTCAGTATGTTTATAAAAGGACAAATTATTAAAAGCCAGTATGAGAGATGGAGAAGCTTTTTACTGATAAGGAAAGAACAGTTCAAGAGCTTACTTACTGAAAGGAAGGAGTTGGTGCAAGGCTGTTCTTTTCAACATGGGGTCAACCCACTTCTACAGAAATTCAGCCTTTCTATGTACCCATTGCAGGTGCAATGACAGTCAACAGGGCCTGTGCCACTCTACATGCTTTGCACAAAAGTATTGGTCTGCTTTAAGGGTCCAAGGTGTTTGAACTTACAAGGTTAAACTCTCCAAGCACACCGACAAAATACTATCTCCTTGATTCCCCATGGAGCCTCAAATTCACTAAATTTAAAACTGAGTTGGTCTTCCTCCCCCCACCTCAATAGCTCTTCCTTCAAGTTCCCCATCTCACTCATTGTCTCTGTCAGGCTCAGGATCTTGGACACTAACTTTCTTTTCCTTTTCCCTCTCTATTCTTAGTTGCCCTCTCCTGGTGTGATCATTTCTTTTTCACCTGGTCCCCTGTATTGACTGACACCTAATGCTCAAGTAAACTGCCATATGCCCATGTACGGTAACTCTCTAATTTAATCCCATGAACTATCTTTGAATCTCTCATTCGATTAAATTTATTGCCTTAAAGCACAGTTCCTCCTTAAAAACCTCAGTGAATCTAGTCCTATACTGCCTAGGAAGTCATGCTCTAGTTCTTCAAGATTCTTTGCTATATGGTCCAACTTTTCCTACAATTCACTTCCCTTCATTATGATGTACATCACAGAATCCCCTTCCCTAGCACCTTTATATTTCATGACAGTCCTCTTCATGATTTCTTTTCTCACTTCCAAATGCTACTATTCTGTTCTACTTGTACTTCAAGTTTTAAAAATATCAATGTCCTCAGATATACATCCATTATGGAACCAATGATTTCGCACTTTCATAAAATGTTCTCTCAGTTATTTTCCTTTCTAATGCCATAGGATGTGTGCACATACATGAGAAAGAAAACACCCTACAACAGTCTAGGTGTGGCCTGGTGTGCTGCTACTGAGGCTAAGATTCTAACCTCAGCTGGCCATGTACAATCTGGCTCCCTGGGCAATGCTCAACCACTGTGCTACAGGGTTGGCTTATGTCTTAGTTCTCAATGCTTTAAATCCTACCATGTTTTCATTCCACAGTGTATTGAAAAGATGAGTTATCAATAAGTAGTATTGCTTAAATAAATAATGATTAGTAGTATTTGTGAAGGAGAGATAGGTAGGATATTTTTGAATAACGAGTACCAAGAAACCATCGGTTTTATTAGTATACCTTTGTTTGTTCCAGTTCTGAAGATAAGCTTTCCAAGCTGCTAAAACTCAAGAAGCGTTCATGGCTGGAACCTGTCTGGAAAAGGTATCTGACTACTGTCTCTTTATTTGTTTCAAATCGCTCCCATTTCCTTAATGTGACCTAAATTAAAAATATAATAATAATAAACAACAGCATCAGGTTATAAATTACCAAAATATGCCTTGAAATATTGTCTTATTATGGTTCATTTGCCAATTATCAACTTCTTGTGAATTGTTAGTTCAAATTTTACATAGAATATGCTTTTAGCTCTCAATGTTTTCTGCTACAAGAAATGATACGTGGATAAAGTAACTTTAAAGTTATTTTGTCAGTTGCAAAGTTCTAGAAATCCACAGATATTACTTACAATGTAGATAAGTGAGAAAAGAGAAAAGAGCATCTGAGTAGCTCTCAAAAAAAGAAATGAATCAATGGATGGAGAGAGAAATGAGCAGGTGGCAAAGACTAAGAACTTTTCTCAGGCAATGTGTCAACATAGCAATAAACCATAAAGGTGGCATAAAGGTGTGGCTCCTGAACGTCCTGGAAAATTGAAACGATATTATCAAATTTCTGGATTCAGAGAAATGTGAACAAAATCCTGGCTTTGCTACTGTTCACTGAGCTCAAACTCTTAAACATCTGCACTTGGAAAGTGAGCCCATGTCATAAGGGTGATGCGATGATATGCAGGGAACATTCGTGCTTAGCCCAGTGCTGGATCATCACAGGCGGAAACAACGTTTTCTCCTGAGGTTACTGGACCCGGAAGTCACGCAGCTTATGACTGTTGCAATGCCGGAAATCCACTCCCACCTGGATGCGGCGCTCCTGGCGCTCCCTGCTGCGCTCCACGCTGTCCAGGGTGCTGGCCAGCTTCTGTAGCTCTTCTGGGCCAGGACCAGGCCGCCCGCCCTCTCCTTGCTGAGCCTGCATAATCTGCTGCTGCACGTCTTTCTTCTTTGCCGAGATCCTCTTTGTCTGTTGCTGAAAGCGTTTGTTCAACAGATGGATATAAATTTTACTTTCTAAGCAGCTAAACAGAGACATAAACACCCACACTTACCAGAGGTACAGCTGAACACATGCAGCGTGAGCCCGAATTTTATTTTAAATTGAAGAGGAACAGTCAAAATAGTAATGGGGACGCTTCCGTATTAGTCAAAGATGGCCAATATTTATAAATGTTTTATGTTTTTAATGGTAAACACTAAAAGTTTTGGCGTTAGTGTTTTAGTTGTGTCCAGATTTGTAGAACATGTAGTATTCCAGAAAGAATGTGGTAAAACAACAAATTTAATATGATTCTTCTTACAAATAAATTACTATTATATTCTATCTACAAAAATAAAGTCCTAAATCCATTTTTAAAAAATTATGTTGAGGGACCAGCAGTTAGCGTAATGGCTATGTCTCTAGACTCCCATGTAGTTGACCGTGGTTCGAGTTGACCCAGTGGCTTAAACTCATGCTGGGCACGTGTGTGTGCGTGCCCAAGATCCCAAGAGGAGAATGAAGGAGAAGGGATTGCGGCTTGACCATCTCCCCTGGGGGATGATTTCTCACTTTCTGTCTCTCTGTCTCTCTTTGTCTTTCTGGCATGCGCACGTGCGCTATAGCAAAAACCTCTCCAAAAAAAAATTACGTTGAAAAGAAAATGCTAATATTAAGATATTTACTCTTTGAAGGGGCCCGCAGGTGGTGTGGTGGTTAAGGCACCTGGACTCCCATATGGCTGACAGTGGTTCAAGACCTGGACCTGGCAGCTTGCTTTCTCACTTTCCTTCTTTCTCTCTGTCTCTCTCTGGTCAACTTCAAAAAAAAAAGTTTTTTTTAAAAAAATGACAATGAGTAAAAATAAAATAATTCTTCAAAAAAAGATAGGTTTACTCTTTGAGTATATTCAGAGTTATTAATATGCTGAGATATTTTGAGGAAAGTTGTGTTTTAAACTGTTTAGTGAAGTGTAATCTTCGAATGAATGGCATATAGATCTCAAATACACAACTTATGAATTTTCCACAAAATAAACATATGTCTATAAACAAGTATTTAGTCCAAGAAATATGAACCAAGTTTAAAAATATTAATATAAATATCTATGGCCATATATTTCTCTAATGAAGTAGGTAGAAACATAAGGAATTTTATAGCTGAGAGCAGTGCAGCACCAAACATTGAGTTTCTGCTCCCATACCCTTTTCATAATTATTAAGTAAATTATGAAGACTTCAGGATACTATTTTACATACTTTCCACTTTTCATACAATGTACATTTTATAAGTTATACATAAAATTAGCCAGCATTTTTCTACACATTAGCTAGCTAGAATTTTGTCATTAAAATATTTTATTTGGTGCCACAGTGGTTAAATTCAATGGTCTCTGAGAAAAATCCCATGGGTCTCTATATGTGAACTAAAAACTCCTCTGAGTATGCCAGGCACTGGCAGGAGTGCTTCTGATCAGGGACTGGCTGGAGGTGGGAGTGGATTGTGGCACCAAGCTCTGTTGGGTGTGCTGTACCTATCTCTCACTCTCTCAGTCCTTCTTGCTCATAGATACTTTTTATATTCTTTAATTCTGGTAGGACATATACACATGAGAGTGAGAGAGATGCACACCCTCCACAGGATCTGGTCACACTCTGATCCACTTCCTCTAATCCTCTCTCCAGTCTATTTGTTCTTGGGCCCTCACATGCACATCTGTGTGTTTTAAGCTGACCAGGCCAGGGACTCCAACCTTGGTCACCATGTGGGATCAGCCTTCTAAGCAGCATGCTAACACTGTGCCATGGAGCTGGTCTAATTTAAAAATAATTTTTCAAAAAAAATCCAGTCTTCCTTTAAAAATCAATTTGAATCATATTTCTATTTATATTGAGTTTGATTAGTAATATGTTCCATTTATGTGCCTATTTTAATATGTATATTTTAATTCCCTGCTCTACTGGTAGGAATTAAGTTGATTAGAACTGCTTATTATTGACATATGTATACAAATCTCTTTATTTCCAGCTCTAACTCTTTGTGAGAACTGGCACTTCATGTAAGTTATAATTTCCTAAAGTAAAGTGTTCAAAGTTGTAAAGAGAAAATTTTAATGTGATAACAAAAGAATAGTGATCTCAATTACAAAGCAATTCGTCTATCCTTTGTTATGAAAAGGACAATTAAGCCTGTTTTATATAGGCTTTCATAGCTAATTCAATCACAGTATTCCCTCAAATTTCCTTTTTTTTTTCTTTTTTTGGGGAGGTTTTTGCTATAGGGAGTGTGCGCTCGCCAGACAGACAGAAAGAGACAGAGAGAGAGAAAATGAGAAATCACCCCCCAGAGGGGATGGCCACACCGCAATCTCTTCTCCTCCCTTCTCCTCTCAGGATCTTGGGCATGCATGCACACGCACCCGGTGTGAGTTTAAGCCACCAGGTCCAGGACTCGAACCGCGGTTGACAACGTGGGAGTCCAGCGACATATCCATTACTCTAACTGCTGGTCCCCAAATTTCTTTTTTTTTAAGACAGGATGTTGCTTTGTTAAGATCGTCTAATCCTCCTGCCTCAGCCTCCCTATTTAGGGCTGCAGGTGTGCGCTACCACTCCCAGCCTCCCAAGTAACCTCAGCCTGCCAAATAGGAGATAAAGAAGTGCACTACTTGGGCTGGGGCTTCCTAGAACTTTTTGATAACACCACATCACTCAGTCTGAGAATTTATCTTGCAGGATAGTATAAAATGTTTAATATTTAGCAGAAGAGAAACAGAAATATCAAGTTCTTTTAAGCATTGAACTGGGTTCCTTTCCATGCCACCCCCCTGACTTCTCCAACCCAATTTGATATATTCATTATCTCTTTGTTCTATCAGTAATTAATCAACTCTACAGAAATGCATTGGAGTAAAAAGGCACTTCTACCTGATGATGAAGAAGTAACTGCTGTGCTTCAAACAGATTTTCAGTGTCTAAGATCTTCTCAGCTTGTTCCTGGGCTTCCTCAGAGTTGGAAATTAACTCTTCAAGGGAACTTTTGACTATTTCTTTATAATGGACACAGTCCCCAAAGTTGCTCAACATCTTTTCAACCTACATTTTTATGAAAAAAAGGAGAAAAATATATCATATCTTACTTTGCATAGTTAAGTTCATACAATCTTTTATTGAGGTACAATTGACAGTAGACATTTAAGTGTACACGTGATGTTTATATATATAAATCTCATGATATAATTCTTCCAATCTAGCTAATTAGCTCGTTCATCACCTTACATATTTACTGTGTGTGTGTGTGTGTGTGTGTGTGTGTGTGTGAACTCTCGAGGTTTACTGTCAGCAAATTTCAAGTAGACAATACAATATTATTAGCCACAGTCACTATGCTGTTTTTAAAATTTGTACCCTTTGATCAACATCTCCCCAGTGAGGTCTAATTTTACATACTTTAAAAGTATGTATACGGACCAGCAGATGGCATAATGGTTATGTCACTGGACTACCACATGGATGATCATAGTTTGAGTCCCAGGTCCAGAGGCTTGAAACTCATGCTGGGTTCATGTGCATGCATGCCCAAAATCCTGAAAGGAGAATGAAGGGGAAAGGACTGTGGCATGGCCATCCCTCCAGGGGGTGATTTCTCACTTTCTGTCTCTCTCTCTCTCTATCCCTATGGCAAGGGAGCTCATGTGCCCCATATCAAAAATATCTCTAAAAAAAAAATATGTATGAAGTCAATTTCAGCAACTAGAGAGATATACACTGATCCTTAACTTTTATTCTTTCATGTATTTTTAAGGCTTATTCAATTATTATTAAGCCGTATAGTCACTTATGGGAATTTCAGACCTCATTTGATATGTATGGTACTCTAGGCCATGTTAAAAACCCACCTGATGATCAAGGCAAAATAGTAAAATTATATATGTTGTATACTTTTTTCTCACAAACCCTTTAATTATAACCTAATGATTAAAACCTAATTGTAAAATTCCCTTACAAGAAAATTCAGTCCATTTTATTTAAAGTAAGTAATGAAAAAAAAACATGCAGAGAGGAAAGAGAATAGAAGAGAATTTGTTAAAAATGGACTGGGGCTCCAGAGACAATGTGGGAGAAGGGTGGGAAATGGCAGAAGGTGAGAGGGAGGGAATCAAGGGGAAAAAGAAAGAAGTAAAACAGTTACGAACAAAATGGGAAATTATCTGCTGAAGATAATAGGTATGGTAATATCTTTGGGTCAATATTCAGTGTATTTTGGTTGGGAAAAAATCATCTTATATGCTGTAATGATATATAGTGAATGAATGTAAAATAAACAGAAAAGAAAAAATGCACTTTCTCTATTTCTACACAAAACATCAACATAAATTTTGAATTTTGTGGTGATTTAATGGATTCTCTTCCTTGTCATGTCCCTAAAGTTTTAGTTTTCTCTTCTAGTTTTGGCTTCCTGTTTCAGTTTTGCCAATATCTTCTATTTTCAAAGTCCATCTTACTGTACCAAAGACTATTTTTATGTGTTAACATTTGTCTTCCACAGAAGCATTTCCGTTTCTCCCACTCTTTCTTTAAATGTTTTGCTATAGGACATGAGCATTCACCAGAGAGAAAGGGAAAGTGAGAAATCACCCACTAGGGAGAGACCAAACCATGATAGCTTTTTCTCCATTCTCCTACACAGGATTTTGGTCATGCACACACATGTGTCTGGCATGTTTTTCAAGCTGCTGGGTCTAGGACCCAACTTGTTCCTCCCAGCACTCAGTTTCTCCCACTCTTGTCTTATCTTTTTCTCTGAGCTTCTTCTGATCTGAGTTGGTCCAAGGGGATCTGGGGATTGTTGTTCTCCAAATAAGCAGATGTAAGACCCTGTGAAAACCACGAACTCCCAATTTCAACATAAATCACCAGCTCTGGTGATTTACATATTGTGACTCTTCCCACAGACTTTTTTTTCTTATACTAGACAATTGCAAATACCTTGTGTTTAGCACTCATGTAAATATTAAATGAATTATTATCAAAGGAAAGGAATGAATGTGCCAAATCAATCTTTTCCTACAAATCTGTACATAAACAGAATGTCTGTTCTTCTCTATTCCCCTTCTTTGGCTTTCACTAAGTGATTAATTAGCAAATGAAGATATTGGTTTGACAGCTGTTGACTGCTACTTTTTATTATTATTTTGAGATCTTTCTGGCTCTTAGTATGATGGGTGATTGTCAATAAAAATCTAGATATTTAAAAATGTTTATATAGAAGTTTAAGATAGATGAGTGTGCAAAAAATTAACAGCTGTATAAACATTTTTTAGAGATTGTTGCTCTAAGTCCATGGCCAGTGTGTGAAAACACTTGGTAGATAAAACAAATGATAAAATGCTTGGTATAATGCTAGGGAGATTAACCACTTCTCATTATAGGCTGCCAAGTGATTTTTGTTTTGTGGGACAAAATATATTACAAATTGTTTATTGGTGTGACTTAAATTGTTTGCTAGATCTTGGCTCACAGATCACTTTCATATACACTAACTTTTAGACAGCCATTTTACTCTTACATTCTTGACCAAAGAAGAGATTAATGTCAAATTTTCATTTAAAGAATAGTAGTTGCTGCTTACTAAACTTAACTGTTGCTATGAGTGATGGCTACCAAAGGATTGAAATGGCTTAAGTTCCAAAATTTGGTGAATCATATTTCTATTTTCAACTTGTCAAAAATTCTTAAGATAATTGCAATTTATATATCAAAATCCTCACATCAAACTAAAATCTCAAGCAGTTCAGAGTATTTTGGGTTTAAATTCACCACTAGAGTCTCTAGCATATCTACTTGGATTAAAATATGAAAGGTGCAGATAATCACATAGTATAATGTTAAGATGCTGAATTCCCACATGATCAACCATGGTTCAATTCCTGGACCTGGTGACTTGAAAATCACACTGGGCACATGTGCATCCATGTCCAAAATCGAAGAGTAGAGTGGAAAAGAAAATATTACAGCACAGTCATCCCCTCCAGGGAGTGAATTCTTGCTTTCCCCCTCTCTGTCTCTCTCTAGCAAGTACACATGCCCTATGGCCAAAATCTTAAAAAGTGGTTAAAGGAACTGGAACCCACATGGCTAATGGTAATTCAAATCTTGGATCTGGAGGCTTGAAAATCAGGCCAGGTACATATGTGTGCACGTCCCAAATCCCAACAGGATGGAGAAATAGAGAAGGAATTGCAATATGATCATTCACTGCAGGGAGAGAAGTGCTTTCTTCCCTACCACCCTTGTCTCTCTCTCTCTGTGAGTACACATGCCCTCTGGTAATTAAAAACAAAACAAACAAGCAAGCAAACCAAAAACGAATGATCAAAAGTGATTTAGCTGCTAAAACTCTAAGCTCTAAATGAGAACTTTGATCTTGATATCAGACAAAATAGAATTCAGGCAAACATTCATCAATTCTGACGAAGATATAGCAGCT